TTCAAAATTAAAATAAAGATATTTAAATATTAGGGCATGACGATGGATTGGGGTTAGGGATTGTCCAATTTGGACTTACAAACTTGAAGCCCAAGTCGACTTTAACGAGAGAAATAAACTAGTTCTCAATAAATGAGGATTCATAACACACAAGGATTCAACTTTTAAAACTCTTAGGCTTATTCCACCACTACTTTAAAAATTAGAATCCATAAACTATAAGGATCGATTAAATTAGTCCATGTTCAAATATAAAATAAATAACAATCCATATTCAAGTAAAATGAAATAAAATAGCAAAAATAAATAAAAAAGATAAATAGGCATGAATATTTCAGTCAATATGACTTAGAAAGGAACTAGTTAGATACTCGTGTTATGCTCGTGGTCAAACAACCGTTACATATGTAGGGTTAACGATTCGTATGGTATAGTGCGAATAGAAGTTTTATTTCTGATAATTAATGTAAATCAAATTTATATATTGATCGAAATTATTTGATTTATATATATTTATTAACAAAATATTTGATAATATTAGCATACAAAATTTGTATTTGAATAATTGGAAGGTTCTTTCAAAATATTATCTAACTTATTTTATTTTTAAAATTTTTTTAGAATGTGAAAACATAAATAATAAATAATTGGCATTATATGTGCGGATATATAGTTAATTTCTAACAAAACTAATGATATACACACGCACGCGCGCACACACACACACAACATATTCAAAGTATATAAAATAAATAGAAAAATATACAAAAAAATCTACCTATATATATATAAAAGAAGAAAAAAAAGGTTACAATAATTTAGTCTCTTTAATTTTGAGAAACAAAATTAGTCCTTTTTTTTTTTTTTCAAAAACTAATTATTTAACTTTTATATTTTTAAAATTTTTTATAACTTAATCCTTTTTTATTTTTTATTTTTTAAAAAATATATAGAAAAATTGATAAGAAATTTTTTTAAATAAAATAATATTAAATTAAGCGTAGTCAATACACGTCAAATGGTTTATATAATTAATTTTTAAAACAAAAACATTAATTAATTAGTTTATAAAAAATAGTAGATAACTTATAATTTACTCATCAAAGAAGAGGGGAAAAGGGTATGTTAATGGGCTTTTTGTCCCCTTAAAAAGAAATCAATCATTATAATTTTTTTTAAAAATATATAGAAGAATTGATAAGAAAACAAATAGTTTTTAAATAAAATAATATTAAATTAAATGAAGTCAATACTCCTCAAATGACTTATATAATTAATTTTTAAAACAAAAAAATTAATTAATTTGTTTATAAAAAATAAAGGACTAACTTATAATTTACTCATCAAAGAAGCAGGGAAAAAGGTACGTTAATGAGCTTTTTGTCCCCTTAAAAAAAAATCAGCCATTACAAATTTGCAATAAAATTAGAAATTAAAAATGTTTCAAAATGGCTATTGTAACCTAAAGATATATTTGTCAATCATAAGCCCAATATATATATGAAGAGAGAAAAAAAAGGAACGAAAGAAAGATGGCCGAGTTGGCACCTAGTTGGGTTGATCGGTAGCCAAGGCTAGCGTGTTTGGGCTCTGCGAGTGTAGGCCCGAGTGCCGAGCCTTGTTTGTTGTTCAACCCGAAAAAAAAAAAACACCAAAAGAATTAGGATACAGTAAATGAACAATGGTTATTATTATTCAAATATCCCATTTCTTTTATTTTTTTATAATATTCAAAAAAATGCTTGAAGACACTTCGGTATTAGAAAAATACCCGAGTAGTCACGGAATAACTAAAATATCCTCGAAGAAAATTGTAAAATCTAAAACATAGTTGAAGGATACATTAATTTCTCTCCTAACTCGTCACTTTATAGCCTCTATTTCTCCGGTTCTTCTCCTTAAATGGTAGCCACAAAATCAGTTAGGTTTTTGTACCGACATTTCTCCGTAACCAGGTACAAGTTTTATACATTTACTAAGCATGGTTTGTAAGGAAAAAAAAGCCCTTATACAACTAGTTTTTCTACCTAGTTTTGCTTTATTTTTCTTTTGACCAGCCCATGACACTAGTTTTGTGATGCTTTTAATCAAAGCCCAATATTCCAAAGCACTTGGTTGTTGATGGCCAAAACTTTGACGCAACCTCCATACGTAATCTTGATGAAATTAAAATTCCAGACCTTATGTTTGGCATGATTAGTGGCGGACGCAAGACCAAATGTCCACAAGGGCCAAAATAAATATTTATAAATTTATCATGATTTACATAAATTTATATATATGTATATATATTATAGATAACATACCAATATATATTTTAAAATAATTTCAAAATACCATAACTTAAAATAGAGATCTTTGTTCTTTCAAGTCATGAAAATCATTTATAACTAAATTTATATTAAAATTTTCAATAATTTCTTTTTCAATATATACTAACAAACAATTGAAAAAAAATTCATCTTCCTTCTTAGTACGAAGCTTAGTCTCGACTATGCTCATAGCCGAAAATGATCGCTCCGTGAGCCATAGAGACCGAAAGAGTAATAATAACCGTTATCATTTTATACACAACTCGATAACTTTCAAATTTTCTTATCTTCATCAAACATTGATACAAATCATATATAGTTGATAATATTTCAAAATTAGAAAGATTTTATACATGATTAAAATGATCAAATTGCATCCTTAATTTCATGATCAAGCAAAGTCTTAAGTGGTAAAATTTTTACACCAACTTACAAATGTCATCAATCCTAAATGATATGCCCATCTCTCTAGAATGTAAAGCCAAACTAAGAATGAGTAGCTCTATCGTGTGATCATTGAATCTACTATTCAGCTTCTTGCAATTGAGAATCTATCACAGCATTGAATATGTCAACTTTGTAACGATGCTCAACTATAATTGCACTAAACATATTTATCAAACCGTAAATAGATTTTAAATGAAAACTCTAACGAGTATCTCCAACTCTTTTGTAATATTTTGAACTTGTTATTAAATGAATTAAAAATATATTAAGGATGTATAAGAACTATTATATGAGCATAAGATAGTTATCATGAGGATGCTAGAATATTCGATGTGCTTAGGATAATTTTCCCGTACTAGGTGAATAATTTAGTTGCTTTTCGATGAATGAATAATAATTTTTTATGCAAAATAAATGTTTTGAGTATTTTAAATATGCATGAAAAATATTCTATTTGCATAGCATATTTGCTAGAGAGGTGCCAAATTATTTTGTGCCATTGGATGAATTTTCTCGATATTCAATGAATATTTTCAATGCATGAATAGTGCTTTTTTATGAAAATTAATTATTTTGAGTATTTTAAATGTGTTTGAAAATTATCTAATGGGCATAAAAAAATCATTTAGGAGCTGTAGTAATATTCTATGAACTTAGGTGAATTTTTCTATTCATAGGAAATATTTTCTCGTAGAAATAATTAAGTATATTTTTACATTTTTTTTATTTAAGCCCTCAAATTAATTATTTTGTGTAAAAATACACCCATTTATTAATAGGTTAATTAAATTCCAATTGAAGAATTCTAATAAATAAATAAATAAATAAAAATAAAAAACCAATTAAAGCATGAACTAGGATTGTGCGGATTAATTATTTTAAGTATAGCATGGGATGTACCATGATGAAGAAAAAAAAAAAAATTGAGGGGAGGGGGCTAGGCCCCGTAGCATTCTACTTGGGTCCGCCCTTGGGCATGGTTGAAACTTACCAAGCAACAAAAACCTAGCTTCAATTGATTTTGGTTAGATTTGGAACTCTACTACAATCTTAGCTAAATAATAATGATTCATGAAAGTATCATTTCTTGTGATTAATTTCTAGGATACAACAAAATGAAATCCTAAGCAAGTACTAAACGCACATGAACCTTAAGCAAAAGCACAAGAATTCATAGGATAATTTGAGAGAAACATCTCAAGAACTTTACTACTTAATAAAAGTGATTTCTCTGCAAAGCATAAAATGCCTTAAATATTGACTACTAAAAAATTCTTAAAAATACTTGTCTAATATGAACTACAAAAATTTTAGCCTAATCCCACTGGAAAATTTAAGTCCTAAACAATAAGGGCAACAAGTCCAATTCAAATTTAACAAGGACTAATTAATCTTGTTCAAATTAAATATGAACTCTTAAAATAAACTCCTCGTAAAATAAGTGTGCATCCTTAATTATGAAAATAAAAGAACTATATCCAATAAGGAAAGTAGGTAAGCTAAATCATATAAGGACAAGAGGAACCTAAATCAAAGTAGTTAACTTAAATTACATTAAAAAAAAAAAAATCAGCCATATTTAGAATGGTCTAGTTGAAATGGCCATACTCCCATGTCAAGCGCACTCGATTGACAAAAACTGGTCCTCGATTTTGAACCATCCTTTTCTCGGTCTCGTAAATGTCCAGTCAAAACTTTTCAACTATTTTTTTTCCCTTCACCATGTAATCCTGTCCAGCTCGAATTTTCGTAGCAGGGTTCCTTATTGCAACAAACTCCTTAGCTTGGATGTGTCTTCTACGTTCATTATGTTTAGTGTTTTATCACTTGAAGCTTCTCTTCATGTAATTTATATACGTACAACATGCCATTCTTTTATGAAGTCTGGTTTTTCTGAATTGTGTTGAAACTTTTGAATTCTTCCATCCTCTAGCTCGTGTATTAACTTCGTAGCCTATGCATCTTTATCTTCCATTTCTCTTTCAAACTACAAGTAGTACCAAGTTTTGGAAACACATAGGTTGATGTCTCCAAACTCTTACAATCTGACATCTTGGGCATCATCTCTCTTTGGTCACACGTTGCATTTTGATCCAGAGAAAGTTCAAGGGCAATGTTACGGCCACATTAAGTCATAACAAACAAAGTGGCATGATGCAACGCATTCCCTCTTCTCTTGTACGATGAAATAAACCAACAATTCTTCTATAAGTTCACATTCACCAAGCTTTGATGCTGTCTCTATCGCACCTTTATAAAGGTTGTCATGTTTTGATAATCCAACGATTTCCAACACCTTTCTGCCTTTTTATAAGTGCATGTAGACACATGTCTCACTTCAATAGACTCATGCTGCCCAACCTTATATGCAAGACGAGTCTGATCTAAGTTATCATGCAAATCAATTGATTTATGAAATCTTTTATAGTCCTTCTCCTCTGTATAAATCTGATTCAAAGCCTCATCCGCAACATATATATTATTGCTCTGTGCTTCTCTAACAAACAATTTTTGATCATGGAAAACTTGGTCTCTCTTTTCATGATCAAACCTTGGCTTTTCGAGTTTTATCAATTGTTTTCTTGTAGCAATTAGAGTAAGTAGTATTTCATCTTGGAAAACCTCGCCACCTATCTGAGTTGTAGTCAGTGTTGTTGTTGCCATGATAATAACCATCAATCCCTTCACTGACTGTGTCTTTTTGAGACTTTCTAAAAACGTTGCAACATTTTGGACAATGATGTTTTGGACTGATTCAGCCCTTATAGATTTGAATTGTGACGTGTTATCTTAAACATTCTGCTACTTTTCCTCAACAATAAGTTCTGTTCGTGTTTGAGCAGCCTCATCACTTGAGAATAATTTGGAAAAATTTCTAGTAGCTTCATGCTCATTCGGACCGTCTCTTTTGCTGGAAGTTTTAGTCTTTTCGGCACCAATAAGGTAAGCTTTATCCACCTCACTCTTGGTGCCATCATGCTCCTCCAATGCTCTAAGGAAAATAAACTCACAAACTAATTTCCTCTTTGTTATTCTTGATCGAATGCTCCTCCTTCATAGCCATGAGCACAATCTTCTCTCTTTTTTAGATGGAATGAGTATGTATTCTAGAATCCGTCATACACAACTCGCCAATCTTATTATCGTGGTCTTTCTAATAAAATATGATATGCATTTAGAGGAATTACATCACACCACACTTCATCTTGGTAACTCTTGCCTATTAAGAATGGAACAAGGCACCTCTTGGTCACCGAAATATCATAATCTCTATTCAACCAAGCTATCTTGTAATAATTAGAATGATCAACAATTGACAATTGGAACTTTTCCACCACCATCATCGACACCACGTTCTCACAACTTCCCTCATCGATGATTTAGTTACACACCTTTCCATGAGATGTGCACCGAGTGTGTAAGACATCATGTCTAAACCACATTTCCTCTTGCTCTTCTATGGCCTTAAGAGCACTTTGAACTATCAAAGACTCTCCATTGTCTACAAAGATCTCTTCTTCTACCTTCTTGGCCAAACCATCAACCATCTTGGTCTCTTTCACAAGGCTAATTACCCTTTGGTTAGGACAATTTGAAACAATGTTCTCGATCCCTTAGCACTTAAAACACATTTTAGAATTATCGGATCTCGTTGTATTTTTTTTGGTGGCTTCGCTCAAAGTGCCTTCTCCTTCTTGTCATCTCCAACCTTGGATAGAGTTAGGAACTCTAATTGAACCCACGACAATAGGCCGAGTCTCTATAGCTAAAACTTTTCGTCCTTGCCATCTTGTTGACTTTTGATGATGCTTTAGTTTTAGGGATAGCTTCACAACATCATTTAACCAAAAAACCTAGCAATCTCATGCTCCCCCGACTCGTTAATTTCACAATTTAACATGAATGGCTCAAATTCAATGGTATAAGCCTTTAGGCTAAAGTTATCTTTCCTAAAAATATAAAATTCAAGATAATATCTTGTCTATGGTAATAAAAAAGATACTTATGGTTTAAAGCCTTCTTTATCTTATCCCAATTTTTCCTTTTTCCTTGCATATTCGTTGCATCCGCAAGTTCTCCCACCACATGAAATTATTTTTTGTTAGGTTTTTTTTTTTAAAATTTTTTTTATCATAAGTTTGATCTTTTTATCATCCGAAACATCTTTGTAGTCAAGCATTTTCTCTATGATGTGCAGCTACTAAATGCGATCGTTCGGATGAAGCTTATGCTCAAAATTACGAATCTCCATCTCGACACCGAAATGGAAGTGTTGTTGTTGTCTTCTCACCACACATCCTAGTTGAATGTATCCTCCCTTCTTAAATGAGGATGCAGATTGCAATGGTTGGAAGGGATTCTTCTTTTAGACCTCCACATCATCACCTTTAACTCTCGACTATTCGCCATTTGAATCATCTCGTTCAAACTCTTCATTCCTTCACCACAAAAGCTCCAACTCCCTTTATGGTTTTGATGTCTTCTTGTAGGCTTCATCATAAAATGTTTTCAATGACACACATAGAAACGAGTTAAAGATTTGATATCAAGTTCACACTAGTTTTGTTAAGATTTAGATCAAAGCTGAACACTCTAACTCTCTTGGTTGTTTCTTGCTAAAAATTACACGTTAAAGAAAGTCACAACGTCCTTATGCAATCTTGATGGAATCCAAAATTCCAATGTTAAGTTTGAAAAGACCGAAATTTCCAAACAACTAAAACCCTAGCTTGATTGATTTTTATGAGATTCAAAACCCTATTACAATCTTAGCTAAATAATGATGATCAATAAAACTAGCACCTTGAGTGATCAATCATAAGGATACAACAAATATAAAATTATAAGCAAGTATAAGGATAACACGGATAAATCCTAAGCAAAAGCATAAGGATACGTAAGATAATTTGAGAAAAAAACATCTCAAGAATGTTATTACTCAATAAAATTTATTTCTCTACATGGAATAAGATATTTAAATATTGAGTCAAATTTATGGCCTAAGCTAAATCAAACTTGTCCAATATGGACTACGTAAACTTTAGTCTAATCTCACTAGAAGACCTAAGTCCTAAGTAAATAAAGACTAATTAATCTTGTCTAAATTAAATGTGAACTCTTAAAATAAAATCTTAACATAAGTATGCATTTTTATTGAAATAAAAGAATTAAATCCAATAAGAAAAGTAGGTGAACTAGATTACATAAAAAAATTCGGTTCTACTTAATTAACTAGGAAATCCAACTCATTGAGCATGGCCAAGTTGACACTCTTGTGTAAGCCTATTTCCAATTTTGATTTCTAAGGATTTTTCTTTTAAATGGCTAAACTTAAAGATACTAAGGTCTAGCTATGATGTTCCTCTAAATCTTTGAACATTTTTTTTACATATTCACTAAGCAGATGACAATAAGAAAATTAAACATAAAACCCCCTCTCTGATCAACTTTTGGCCAAGTCTAACAACCATGGCCAACATCTCTTTTCTCGCTATATTATTCTTATTACATGGGTTTTAAGAAATAAACAATGATTACACATATAACACAAGCTTATTTTAACCAAAAAGAAAAAAATAATAAGGAACATACTTGTTTAAAACTTGAAAATTATAGCATACGATGGATTGATCTCACAATTTTTGTTCTTTTTGTTTTGGCAGCTTTGTCCTCTTGGTTTTCCTCTCTTTTGGTTTTTCTTTCTTTTGCCTTTTGTTTCTCTTATTTTTTTTTCACTCCCCTTTTTACTCATCAAAAGACTCCTATTAGAGCTATTAAAAAAAACTATGATAACAATAATAGAAATATAGAGAAAGACGATAGAAAAATGATTTCACTATAAAGTAAAATGAATACATAGTAACTCAAAACAACTCTGTAACCCCCGTAAAAATCCTTATCCGTAACGCGACGTGTATTAGAATAATTCTATATATATGTATATTAAGAGTAAGTATAATTCTCATTTCATCATGAGAAATTAATGCTTGAAATATGTGATTTATGTTAAATTAAATTTATTGTGCTTAAGATTAATGGTTTAATTATTAAAGAAATCAAATATGCAAAATCGGTGTTTTAAGTACTATATTGTATCGAGTTTTGTGTGAATTATTTGAGGACTTTAGGATAATTTTCGGGTCAACCTTAAAGAATGAAAGTTGTTCATCTATGTGTTTAATAGGCCTGTATGAAGGTTTATAATATTTGGACCTATAAATTAAAAGCTATACCAATTATAGTGAGGATAGTTTCGAAATGCATTCTGCTGGAATTTTGGGAGAAGAATCCGCCCGAATCTTGTGAGATTTATTTCATGCTATTAGATTGATTTCTGAGCAAAACTTAAAGAATAAACATTGTTTGTCTATATGTGTAATAGTTCTTTATAAAATTTCATAATTTTGGGATACATATAGAAAGAGTTATGCACATTTTAGTATAGATGGGTTAGGAGGTAACACTCGCTGAAATTTTGAGGAAAAAGAAATTTCGAATTTTAAAAATGGAAATTTTCGAATTTTTTATGAAAGAAATTATTTCTAATTACATTAACCCAGCTTATTAATGTTTTTATTTAGCTTAAGTTTTCTTTAGCCACCTAAGCACTTGAATTAAATGCTTGGAAGCCAAATCATCACCTTTGACTTCCAAAATATGCCAGCTTTGCCTTCCAAGCTTCCTCCACTTTACATTTGGCCTAGTTAAATTTTAACACTTATGATATAAATAAATGAGAGGATAAAATGTGGGTATATAAGGGAAAGAGAGGGTTAAATGGCTGCCATTTTTAGGCCAAAAACCATAGCCATCCAGAATTAAAAGAGAAGCCAAATTGAAGAGAGAAAAACAAAGAAAAAGAGAGAAAGAAAGAAAAGAGAAAGAGAAAGGGAAAAAGAAAAGAAAAAGAGCTAAGGAAATTCTGATCAAACCTAAAAGAGGTAAGTAGGTTTCATTTTTTTGGCTGATTAATGTTTTAAATTATTTTTTAAAAGTTATTTTGTTAGTGTTTATTTCATGGGTTGTAATAATTTTCAATGGTTATATGCTTGATGCTTGGGATAAATCTATGTATGGATGCCTTGTTGTGATGATTTATGATGTTATGATGTTTTGAAAAATGTCCAAGTATGTGGTGATGGGTTGGATTGAACTTGGACTAAATTTAAGTGAACTAAAACATGTTTAAAGTTGGCTTGGAATGAACTAATAAATTAGTGTTGATAAGGAGTAAATTCTGTCCGAATTTTGGGGTGTATGTTCAAGGATTTTAGATCGATTTCTAGGTGAAAATTAAAGCATAAAAGTTGTTCATTTATGTTTCAAATAACTTCCTTTAACATTTCTTGGTCATTGGATTCGTGTACAAAGAGTTACACTTGATTTAGTATGGATAGCTCTAGACAAGCTACTATTAGGCAGATTGCTCCCTAAGTTTCAAAAATTTATAATTAATTATGTACTTGGTATTTAGACCTAAATTTTGGATATGTTATAAATAAATATGTCTAGTATCTAAAATAAAATGAGTAAGATTTAATTATGTTCTAAAATTAGAAAATTATTTACTCGATTAGGAGTTAACCGATAATAAACCCTAAAACTAAAAACATTAGACTTGGACAAAAGTAATAGGTTTGGAATAAACTAAATGAGCTTGGACTAAATAAAATAGAATTAAATAGAGTCAATGGACCTAGGATAAAGTTAATGGGCTCGGATTAAAGTAAATGGACTTGGACCTTCTTTTAAATGTTAATGAAACTAATGAACAATATTAATGAGCGGAGATTGTGTTCCCGCTGTGGGTATCATGATTGGTATGTGAGCAATGGATAAATTTCGATTGTGGGTTGGATTGTGAGTATGGCATGAGAATAAAGGGTTGGTACCCGAATTTGGTTGAATGTGATTAAATATATCATCACGTGCATCATGTGCATAGTGGGTGGTTTAAGACAAGTCAATTGATTGAGAAATGG